ACATTGGCGGGTGTTTACATATTTCTTTCATTATATCACCTGCTTTAAAACATCGAGAGAGGGAGCCTCTCGTTTACAAGGGTGGTGTCCAGGGTGCTACAAACTCAGAGGGAATATTTTTTAACTCGGTAGTTTAGTTTAACACTCATCCTTTCATGACCAATATCCATAATAGAGGTTTTTTTGGATTAGATTGCTTAAATATAAATGTGTCGTTAAACCCTCCACCACCCGACAACCAATTAGTAAGGTTTGTCACGTAAACAGAACGTGCCAATTCGTTACTAGTACAGCACACCGGTGTGTTAGAGAACAAATCTACAACATTTACAATCTGAGTGCGACGTTTCGCCAATAATTACAACTGGCATCAGGCGGACAGATTTTCAGTAGTTTAAACAGTCCCTAGACATGTTTTGGTGTTTGATGTATTTTGTTGTACTTGCGAATTAGCGGCAAGTCACAGAAACCGGCTGGTGATGGCGCTGCAACCGCTCGTCCCCGCCGAGCTGAAGTCGCCCTGTCCATCAGTGTGGCTGACTACAGGTGACAGCCACCCAGTCTCACCCAGTGCTCCAAGTTGAGCCAAAGGTAAATTCCATTGATCACCACCTTGCATCACCGAACAAGCTCGAGGCTCATAGCTTCTACCACTCGTATCCACTTCCTTCCTTTTTCCCTGATAAGTTCCCCATAAGTGTTTTCTGTTTACATCTCTTAAACCATCTCATCCTTTACAGCCTTTACACAACTGTGTGTAATGCAGTTTAGTACTGGCCATTCATCTCATGTGACAGTGCCTCTTTGTCCCACTTTGCTTTGCATGGTCTCAACGTGGTCTTGGATGTAACTGGCTTGTGGCATCGTGTGTCCCGAGCACTCCAAACTTTTCTGTCATTTGCTTGGTCTGTCACGCAAAGTCCGCTATACCTTATGTTGGTATAGTTAATGAAACTTACTGTAGACAATGTATTGTAATACATTTTAATGTATTTATCAGCATATGAAAACACTTATATGGGTTGTTATTTAATTGCAGTTGTTTAGCATTTGCCCAAAATTCCAATTGGCCAGCAACAAACACTATTGAAGTAATAATGGATGCTATGTAATACGTTTTAATGAATAATTGTAACAATAATCACGTTTGTATATTTCAGATTCGTAGGATTCAGTGCACGAGGGATAGGCTGTTACTTTGAATTTCTTGATATTCTAAGTGCCAAACTAAGAAATGTAAGATTCTAAAGATTGAGTTAGCCATCTACAGATAATCATAACAAATGGTGTACATTGATGATTCTTAGGATTCAATAAACATGTTTTCCAAGAACCACATTAATCGAAGCATGGAATGTTTAGAAATTCTCAGGTTTTCATGGACACGCCAAAAAATGCATTGCCAAACCTGAGGCTTATTTAGGCTTCTTAGGGCTCATTGGGAACTCTGAACACTTGGCCGCATGAAAGAAAAATACAGGATTCATTGGGTTGAAGGGAATGTTCAAGACTGTACCAACTAAAATAAGATAACGTTGAGAGAATTGCCTCACCAGCAGGAGAGTTTCATACGGCTTGCACAGCTGTCTCATCAAATCGCAATCTGCCACTGTTGTGATGCACACTTCAGTGTGTTATACATTTGCAGTGTACATGGATCCTCGGAACTGGAAGAAATCATGAAAGGAGAGAGCGACGAGTGTGATGGATGAAGAAAAAATACCAGCAATAATGTTACTGTTAAAAGTTCACCAAGATGCCATTTGTACTTTTAACTTTAGCCTCGCAGGTAAACACTCCTGCCTACATTTTATTTTCATTTAACACATACAAATTAAAGTCGGCTAAAAACAACATACCGTTTCAAAAATCTATGTTTTAATTGTCCTCGTACACTGTAATTGCAATTCAAATGTACTTTTTTCAAATTAGTTTTAACAATTTATTTTCTTCTTGACGGTTTTACTTTTAACTCCGTAAAATATTGTAAATGTAAATACACTTGCAGAGAAATACGTGTACAGTCTCAATTAAATCTATGTTCAGACAAAAAACGCATGGGAGAGTCTCTTTTATACTCTTTGGACCAGGCGGTGTGGTCTACGTCCCTGGTTTTGCATCTCCTAGAGATGCACGGGTGGGTGATGAATTGTCGAAAAGTCCCACCCAACAACTTCTCCACCTGGCGGCAGAACGACAGACGAACTTGGGCTTAGCCTGTCGGACAAGGTAATGTGCCTGTGTCCCCTGTGGCGTGGGCAGCTTCTTTATGCCCTCCCGCAGGCAAGTGACATATTGGTCCGTCTGGGGTCAATGGCGTCAACCACTGAGGTGGCTCCTTGGCCCAGGCTGAGGATTGGTCCAGGCTGTTGAGTGGCGGTGGTTCACCAGTCCAGGGGTTTTCCGTCCCTGTCCAGGGCCTTTTGTTGAAGCCGCGCAGGCAGTTGACATACCGGGTGGATGGTGGCCGTTGAGCCAGCTTTGTGTGCTGCTGCTCTGAGATGAGCGTGGATCCGGTATCCTGCTCCATGCCTGCGATTTACTCAACACCCCATGGAGGCGTTCACGTCAGGGTACTTCACTGCGTCCATGAGTGTCCACCTGTCGGCAATTTCAGCCTTCCACGACCCATGCCGGGGGTCTTCTACGGAGGATGGCGCTGGATCACCCCAAAGCGTCCGCTGTCGGTCCTGCCCTGGGATCGCGTTTGGTCCTCCACTGCCTCATGTGGCCTCCATTGGAGGCTTTGCCCACTGTGTACGTGCACTGGCTCACGCTCGAGGTCACCATCCTGTTCTTGCTGTCAGGTCAACCAGGCGGGTAGGTGAGCTGCAGGTTCTCGTTGGCAAACCTCATACCAGAACGAGGTGGTGTTGTGGCTCCTCGGGATGGGAAAGAGTGACCTGGAGATGGATTTTAGGGGGGGGGGTGGGGGAGTAGGCGGAGGCCTAGTGTGAGTGCAGGCATGCTGAAGCCTCTACAAAGTTGAACCCTGGCAGGAACCAATTACACAAGACACTCTGTGTGCAAGAATGAAAATCGGCTTTTCTGGGGCTCGTGATTATTTTTCACAATTCCACAATCCGGCAGGGGTGCTCTTTCTCCGCTAGGGGGCGGGTTTCCACCACGGGGGCGCTGCTCACCAGTCATAGCTGGATAAAAAAAAATATCCAATAACCAAGCCCACTCTTTTTGTCGACTGTCGCATACCTGTCAACCCATACGGTTTACCCGTATTCATCTTGTACCGGGAAATTGAGTTTTCAGGTCCATACGGCTTAAAGCCGTTTCAATACGGGCAAAGCAAAAATAAAGTATTTCTCCCTTGTGATGGGACTTTGTAGGATGAACGTTGAGATTTTATAAGGGCACGGGGTGACCAATAAGGTCTGAATTGGTCTGTAATAAGGTAGGGCACTGATAAGGGGTCGACAGGTATGATATCGCCATGTTTAGTGTTGGTACACGAAAATCAAGACCAGTGCTCCCCATGCCACTGAGATTACTTAAATCAATTTGGCGATATTGCGTTTGGCAGTGGTGCACAAGCACAGTTAATACAAAGGGGGAAAAAAACTCGTACACAATAGGCAACGTTTCGGGCAATAGCCCTACATAGCACTTTTTTTGTTTACTTTGAGGCAGTGATATTGACGAATGCGAGTTTGTTTATGTTACCGAGGTGCTTGCTTCCGATGCCATTCGTGTATTTTGTACGATGCAAGCCGTCGTTTCGTGTACGTGTCTCATCGCCGAAACTTGTCACTTATCTTCCCCAAGCACATTCGAAATGTCTCCTGCACGGTATCCATGCTGTAACCTGCGAAAGGCTTTTGGTGTTGGGGGTGGGGGGAGCACTGCACGGGAATTGTCTGGGGGGGGGGCACAACTCCGGGTTGCCAAATTCATCGTTCAGTATGTGAGCCGCACCTCCACTGTTCCACCTCCCTGGTAATTAACATTAATGTCACCTTTTGTTTTTGTGAGTGCTTTGCAGCAGTGACAACAAAACAACGTTTTTTTAAATGTTTTTTTTTATTTCCTGCTTATTTAAGCAAAGCACGGGTTTACATGGAGTAGAGCTCATGGCACTATTTAAGAACAGCTTTCATTTACACATTTTGTACAGTTAAAGTTTGCTATTTTTATTATAAAGTACAAAATATAAACTATATGATATATAATATGAAGCCTTAAGATCATAAATATAAATCAATTTTAAGTGTCATGATTTTTAATGTAAAGGAGATATATACTGTTAGCAGTTTGCTAATAACACTGATTAATCCAGTGAGTACATGACACGAGTTGACGCGTCAGGAGCAGAGCCAAAAAACCGGCAAAAAACTCTCAACACGCGTCCACTTGGCTTTGGGAAGAACGGGTTGTTAACCACCACACAGGGTCCCTTTGATAAGAGGTTTTTGGGTTAGATCGCGTAAATATGTCGTCAAAACCCGCCACCACCCGACACAGCCAACTGATGAAGCTAGTTGTAATAACTGGCGAAACGTCGTACTCAGATTGTAAATGTTGTGGCTTGGCTCTCCAACACACCGGTGTGCTGTACTAGTGACGAATTGGCCACGTTCTGTTTACGTGACAACCCTTACGAGTTGGCTGTGGCGAGTTTTAACGACACAACATTTATACATTTACGCGATCTAACCCAAAAATCTCTATTGTGGATGATATTGGTCGCGAAAGCCTTCTACGTGTTAAACAGAGTCCCTTTGCTTCTCCAAACACAACACACTTTGCTTCTGCAATGGAGACATCTGCATACATTCGTGCGCACGTCTTTTCATTTGTTTTGGCGCAAGTCGCTCCTCCGCAGCAGCCGCGAGCCTCTGTGGCTATGCCCCTGGGCGAGATTTTAGCAGAGGCAGCGAATCCGAGGAGGGTTACACGGTCACCACGTCGACAACGCATTAAACCAAGTACATTGTTTAAAAAATAGAAACCTAAACGTTAAATTAATATCATCATCGTTTATTTCTCCCCCCCCCTTTAAGTTGCTTCGTTATTTGATTGATTGAGAGCGCTAATGAAACATTACAAATGACATTTAGACAATTTGGAGATCAATTGTATAAAGGGAGCCAGATTTTGTGCACAACATTCACTTTGTTAGTCCACCCTCTTGCCACTCTGCTGCACATGAGATTGGTATTTGCGATTTATTCTTGAAAGGAAAGACTTTTTACGCGTGCTTGTCCGTGTCAAATCCATTGTAACCTTCTGAAAAATTCTCCACGCATTTCATTGTTACCACCCTTCTGCGAAGGTTACACTCTACAAGCGCGGCATTTGTTACGAAGTTGTATTGGATATTAAAATCCTAGACGGTTGCTGGGTAATGTAATTGTTCATGCGTTTTTTTATATATATGATGGATATAATGTGGCGTTTACATTAGCCACGAACACTGAACAACACTCTTAGCGTCGGAGGGACACAGCCGCTGTGTATTGGACAAAATCAGTCGGTGTTATAGGTGTAAGGTTATCGGTGTTCAAGCAGACTACCCCACCCGTTTGCTTCGAGGTGCAGGCATCTGTCGGTCAACCCACCCCTGTGCGTCTCGCACAGCATCGACAAACGTGCAGACTGCCAATTTGGTGTATCGCTTTGTACAGAAACAACACGATCGTCCTCAGGTGGGATGAGGACGATCGCTTGTGTGGCGATCGAAACATCGTGATCTATTATTATTTTTCTACGTGACTTTACCTAAAGAACCAAATAGTATAATTTCAGATCCTTTTGCGAGTTCATTTGCATTATGTGCTTGTTACGTAACGCCAACGAACTGACATTTGAACTCCTTCCTACCTTTTGCGCGACCAAAAGCGACCTCGCCCGATGCGAGGCGACGCCACCGCGTGGTGGCGAACGGGGGGGGGGGGGGGGCCACGTGACGTCACAGGGAATGGCACCACTCCCTGTGACGTCACACCTTCAGATTCCGTGCGAAAACAAAACGCGTTTGTATAATCGGGAATTGGGGACGCGTCCCTCGTGATTACGAAGTGCGGATTGTTTCCCAGGTAACCAGCATGATACGCTCATGTTTACGCATATTACATCCGAAATGTTTACGTTTAACTTTTTTCAGCGATAACAAAAACGTGTACGTAGAATATAAGTAAATTATTAATGAGACCGCATTTTATGAATCGTAAAATAAAACTAAAATATTTACAAGTAATCCTCTGTTCTGTCCCACCCAGTGTATTTACCTCGCCCACCCCTCTTATCCATTATTCACACAAGGTAAAAGAAAAATATCCGTTTGAATTTGAGTAAAAGGTGCCCAAATAACCTGCAATGGGCTGAACAAGAAAATATAAACCTATGGGAACCTACTATGCCCTCTGTTTTGTGAAAGCCTGTGCCACGTGTACAACACGGAGGTACATGCTATTTTTCAGAATAATATTCGGACTATTTATGGATTGACACGACTCATCCATTGTTTAGCTCTCACCTGGGCAGACTTTCCACTAGGGTGACCAGAGGTGACTGAATACCTCCACCTAAAACCATTACGATATTTTATTTCAAAGCAAAGCAAAAAAAGTTTGCACTTTGGCTATGAACAGATTATACACAATTTATGAGAAGCTTTCTGTGTTACAGGAAAGCGTAATAAATATATTTTGAAGAGATTAAAAATACTTCTACCTTTTTACTAACATGCACACATTTCAAATGTCTTGCTTATACTAGAAGTAAAAATCACAAAACAAATACATGATCATAAAGCTAAATAAACTACAGTTTTGTACAAAAAGTTATTCGGAATAAAAACGACAGAACTCAAATGGAATGCCGGCAAAAAATATAACTTTCAAAATGCAGGTTTCGAGAATGCAACGAGCATTCCCAATCAATTTAGGTTTCGTAGACTCGTGAAAATGGCTTCCCTTTGACAGTTGCATTTGTCAAGGAGTGTTTTAATCTCATATCGTTATTATGCAAGTGCTTAATTGATCCAACATCCGTGATTTGGTGTGTGGCTGTTTAGGTCCAACCATGGTGAGGCTGTGTGTGATCTGGAATTGTCTTTTCCCGTAAAAACATTTTTGATAAGAGCCACATCACGTGGTGCAGTGCTTTATCAACATTATCTTTACATTATTTGCAGGATAACTGCATGACAGGCTGACCCTTCTCCTCATGACTTTTACTCATAAATCATTAAATACACAAGATAATTGAATAACAAACAACCGTACTGTTGAAGCTCTTGACATTAATTTGGCAAAGTGCTGACCATTTTATATATTTCTACCTTGCACATTTCATTGCTGTATTTCCAAGCATGCCAAAAGCGGATTACAATTTTAGTGTCTCATTATTGAGCAGCAGCTGAGCTGCTGTTTCGTGATGCAGCAAGATGTCTGGAAATCTCGAACAAGTGCCTCGAATAAAAGCTTTCGTTAAGTTCAGCTCATTGCTTTTTTTTCTTTCTGCACAAACGTTGCGTTTAACCAATTAAGCAAACCGCCTAATCCCAGCATTTGAATACATGTTTTGGCAGTGTGGTCCTGTTTTGTGAGTGGCACCGATCAGCGGTCTAGTGACGAATCGTGCCAAGTGGGGGCTGGTGTCACGAGGGAATCTTCACGGGGTCGGCGCTGGCTTCGTGGACACGTTCTGTGACCCGAGCATAACCTTTGTGACAAAGTTGACGATCGCGCCGGCTGGCTGCTCTGGCTCCAACTCGGCAAAGAGATGGCAGAGGTTGTCCGTCGTGCTGGCCTGTTTCTTTGCCACAAATCCAAAGATGCTGAAAATTATTGGGGGGGGGGGGGGGAAACACGTTACTCGGATTACATTTTACAATGGATAATAATTAAGAGCAGTCATTAATTCAAATAATTGTATAGCCTGTCCACGTAATGTGTACATGTGGCCTTGTTCAGAGTTTGAAGTTAGAACAATCTTATTGATGATTATTATCACTCAAGTGTGTGAATGTGGCTGTAATATTGATGTATAGGACTTAATGCCGAAATATTAATTTTAACAGAACACAAGTTGAAGTAAAGCATTTTAACAACTAACAACACATGCATGAAAAATCCAAACCAAAATTAAAAACAAACCGCTGAAATAACGAGTTACATCCAGCACACATTGATAATGGATACTGTCACGTTTGTCAGTCTACTGTAGGTCGTTAAATCAGGATGCCCTTTAGGTGAACAATCTTGGAAGGCGTTCGCGCAATTTTACGTACTTTGCAGAGTTGCTTCCATTGTTCTGCCACCTAGAGGCGAGAGAGAAAAAAACGTCGATATAATAATTTGGCAAATAAACACCGAGTCCAAAGGAAGTGCCATGTGGAGAGGCATGTTTAGTTTTGTTTTAAATACGTTTAATTTTGCTCGTATTCAAAAGATGGAAAACACAGCTGCACGAGGTTCCTATTAACAAGAACAAAATGTTTTTGTACCAAAAGTAAACAGTCACTCGTGCGACCGAGCATTTAGCGCTAACCTGACGGCTAACTCATAACTTGGAGGCTTTGGCCTCTTTACATTAAAGGGATAACAGCATAACTTCGTACCAATACTGTGGTTCAATTGAATCAATAAAGCGGTTGTTTTTTTCTTAATGAGAATTTCCTATTTGATTATGTTAAACCACTAGAGGAAACACACAAGCTTAAATGCAGTCTAGATATATTCACACCTGTATTACAAACAAACAACGAGCAAACGTACTTTCTTTCTTGAGGGTCCAGGTCACAGAAGGTCACTGTGATGGATGGGTAGTGCCTCCTGAAAAAGAGCCTGCAGGAACACAAAGCAACACGGATTAGCTGCTGCTAATCACCAGTGATAAACACAACAATGCAGCATCGCTGATTTCCTGCAACAAAGTTAAGTAACGTGGGCCACTTCATACCGCCCTGCGAGTTAAAACCCAGCTGATTGTAATCATGCAAGGTACGAGGAACTTATCAATGTATGCGGTATACTCGGCAGAGCTTGTGCTGCGTTTCATCAGATTGCGTGCTGTGTCCTGTAATCTATAATTATTTTTACCTTGTTTACCCAGGAAGTGAGTCTATGGACTTTTTCAAGAGCCAAGTTTTCGCAGTAGGTGGCAATGTTGCTTTGTGTAATCGATGCAGAATAGGGGAAGAACAAAACAAGCTTCACGCAAAAAGGCACCCGAGTGAGAAATCGAACCCAGGTCCCTTCTTGCCGTGAGGCGCAAGTGCCACCACCGGCACCACCTTGCCACTCCGTGCTGAGGACTCGCAATGGTTTTGTCCGCATTAATGTTTCTCGACCAAACGCTCGGGAAATAGCAGCTTACTTGCGCTGATTGTCGGTCAGGGTGATTCCCTGCGCCGACACCTTGAAGTGCACCGCGGTGGCGGCCGGTGTAGCGGCGCTGGCCTCCAGCACCTCCCCGACGGCCTTGGCGATGGCCTGCGGCCCCGTCAGAGACTCCATTTCCACCGAGCCCAAGAACAGCACGTTGCATGCTGGAGGAAGAAGAGGGCGGTGGTGAGGGAGAGGAACGCATGCCAAGAGCTAATTCTCTTGAGACGGATTCTAAATTATTACTCGTTTAAGTGAATGCCCTCCCTCTAGAAGGAGCTATGGCACAGTGGTTAGCGCACTGCTTTAGGAACCCGGCATCCTGAGGTCAATATCTGGACAGTGAACATCCACGATGAGACATATATGGACCAGTCGTGGTCCCTCCCCCACACCGACCCAGGATAGTGAAGTATAGTCAAACAATTCCCACGACCAACGTGACATGTGGAGGCCTTCACCCAGAAGTTAACTGACAAAAGGGCTGAACATTCCTTTATGCGCTATAATTCACAACGCCTGCTGGACGATAAAAAAAAAGTTTGTTTTGTATTTTAAAACCAACATTTATATATATGTGTGTGCGTGAGACTGCTCCTCCAATGCAGTTGCGCGCTTTCACAGAAAGCGTGGCCTTGTAGTTGGCTACACGGCGGAGTGGCCACCTACCGGCTCCTTGCTTCAGTAATTCTGATGCCGAATTCGCAGTGTTGGCTTCACTGCTGTCCGTTTCGGAGCACTCCATCGGATCTAAAACAGGAGGAAAGTCATCGGATAAATGACGACCCAACGATTTAGTGCCACAGCTGTTGAAGAGAGTATATTCCCCGCAGTGCTTGGAGATGGGAGGAACATTTAACAGCGAAACACTTTTACTCCCGAGTTAACAATTATAAAGTTCTGACTGAGGGTAATTTCACAAGTGGTCCATCAGTATAAAAAAAAAAATCCTGGAAATCATTATTTAAATCGTTTTCACAAATAAACCGTGCTTTAAATGTTAAGCTACACAGCTGCCTGTGGTTTATCGCCTGTAAGTAATTGTGCCCCCGAGAAGGAGTCATAATATGATTCTGACGAGGACAGATTGGTGTGGTTGTCACCTTTATCGGGGATAATGAGCTGACAGGGCAGCGCCAGTGGGGTGATGGAGTGCTGGTAGACCAGAGCGGACAGACTCCCTGTGCAGAAACACAAACAGCGCACTCCAGCACAAGCGGCCACGTGGGCGTGCAGGGTTGCGGTGAGCATCTCCTCGATGGGTCTGCACCCACGGGGTGACGTTTGTGTGTGTAAATATAAACGTATGCATGTTGAACTTCTTTCACGCCATACGTAGCCAGCCATGCTCATCGGAGGTGTGGGGGAAGGACAACAAACTAAACACAATAATTTGTTCTAAAGAAATGAGTTTTAACACTAGATTTTAAAGTGATGGGTGTGGTGGGCGAGCGGTTTTTCTGGTGGCCTCACCGAAGAAGGGTTCGTTGGGGCATCCCTTTAACCTCACGCCCTTGGGAGTCGATTCAATCAAATAGTGCCGGACCAATTCGTTGGCCAGGTCTCCTACGAAAACAAATTCGAAATGCAATTATTCAACGTGACACGAAACGTTGAGAACACGGTATGCAAAACATAACTCCGTATCAAAAACTAAATGATGACGTACAAAAAAAATGTAAGAATTTATATAACCGCAACGACTGCATAATCTACTATAGGAGAGTGATACTTTTATGTATAATTTACCTTTTTTGGTTTGCTGGAGGACGCTCGGGGGGGGCATTGCCACCTTAACAGCCAAACCGTAGGCCCCGCGGAAAGAGTGGCTGTCCCTGATGATGAACGAGCCTGGCTCCGAGTCCTTGAGCACGGCAATAGCTGCAACAGGAGGAGGGTCACGTGAGCCAACCTCATCCCGTCGCAATTGTGACAATAATGACAATTTCTACTTGTCACGCACCGCACAGTACTCACTCGCTCTCAGAGACTGAAAATGACTCCGAGGCACGAGGAGCCACAGAGAAACACGCGGTGAGCCCGCACTGACATTTGCCAACGTTTTATAGATGGAGGTGTTTATTGGCCAATTCATGAGTGTTTACATTTGTGAGGAAACTGGAGCACTCTGAGGAGACTGCGGTGGTATGAGGAGACTGGTGGTGGTGGTGTGAGGAGACTGGTGGTGGTGGTATGAGGAGACTGGTGGTGGTGGTATGAGGAGACTGGTGGTGGTGGTGTGAGGAGACTGGTGGTGGTGGTGTGAGGAGACTGGTAGTGGTGGTATGAGGAGACTGGTGGTGGTGGTGTGAGGAGACTGGTGGTGGTAGTGGTGGTATGAGGAGACTGGTGGTGGTGGTATGAGGAGACTGGTGGTGGTGGTATGAGGAGACTGGTGGTGGTGGTGTGAGGAGACTGGTGGTGGTGGTGTGAGGAGACTGGTGGTGGCGGTGTGAGGAGACTGGTGGTGGTGGTGTGAGGAGACTGGTGGTGGTGGTATGAGGAGACTGGTGGTGGTGGTGTGAGGAGACTGGTGGTGGCGGTGTGAGGAGACTGGTGGTGGTGGTATGAGGAGACTGGTGGTGGTATGAGGAGACTGGTGGTGGTGGTATGAGGAGACTGCGGTGGTATGAGGAGACTGGTGGTGGTGGTGTGAGGAGACTGGTGGTGGTGGTATGAGGAGACTGGTGGTGGTGGTATGAGGAGACTGGTGGTGGTGGTGTGAGGAGACTGGTGGTGGTGGTGTGAGGAGACTGGTGGTGGTGTGAGGAGACTGGTAGTGGTGGTATGAGGAGACTGGTGGTGGTGGTGTGAGGAGACTGGTGGTGGTAGTGGTGGTATGAGGAGACTGGTGGTGGTGGTATGAGGAGACTGGTGGTGGTGGTATGAGGAGACTGGTGGTGGTGGTGTGAGGAGACTGGTGGTGGTGGTGTGAGGAGACTGGTGGTGGCGGTGTGAGGAGACTGGTGGTGGTGGTGTGAGGAGACTGGTGGTGGTGGTATGAGGAGACTGGTGGTGGTGGTGTGAGGAGACTGGTGGTGGCGGTGTGAGGAGACTGGTGGTGGTGGTATGAGGAGACTGGTGGTGGTATGAGGAGACTGGTGGTGGTGGTATGAGGAGACTGCGGTGGTATGAGGAGACTGGTGGTGGTGGTGTGAGGAGACTGGTGGTGGTGGTGTGAGGAGACTGGTGGTGGTGGTATGAGGAGACTGGTGGTGGTGGTATGAGGAGACTGGTGGTGGTATGATGAGACTGGTGGTCGTGGTATGAGGAGACTGGTGGTGGTGGTATGAGGAGACTGGTGGTGGTATGAGGAGGCTGGTGGCGGTATGAGGAGACTGGTGGTGGTGGTATGAGGAGACTGGTGGTGGTGGTATGAGACTGGTGGTGGTGGTATGAGGAGACTGGTGGTGGTATGAGGAGACTGGTGGTGGTATGAGGAGACTGGTGGTGGTGGTATGAGGAGACTGGTGGTGGTGTGAGGAGACTGGTGGTGGTGGTATGAGGAGACTGATGGTGTGCCTAATCTACGAGTGTCGCGCGTCACGTCCTGCTCTGCAATGTGGATGGTGATGTCACTTGGACGTACCTTGGTCTCTTGAAATGTCCTTTTTGTACCAGTACTTTGTAGTATCTTGGACAAACTTCACATATGCTCGAGTTTCGGCACTTACATCTGAAATTAAAAGGGTTGAAATTGAATGTGTTAAGACGAAAAAATATATATAAGATACCCCATGTTACAGTATATGCTGGTGGGAAATGTACTCTTAAGGTCATGTAATAATGATAACCATAACATATACGAATGATTGCCCTAAAATGTATACACTCGCAATTGCTCAGGAATTTCCCTCGTTCATCGTGGCCTTGAGCAAACAGCACACAAACACCACGCACAGCACACAAACGCCACGCACAGCACACAAACGCCACGCAACTGTGGCTACCAATAAAACCACGACAGCATCACCCAGCTACAGCGTAGTTGACCGGGAACACATTTTACACGCACGACAGCACGCACCGCTGGGGAGCGAGGTGACGCTGGACTGCCTCGAGAAGTTCGCATGCAGGGTCCCGGGCAGCGTGGAGGACGGTGAGAAGCAGCTCATGGTGGGCGTTCCACTGGCAAGCGGCGACGGCGATTCCCGATTCACCAGCGTGTAGTGCGGCGAGCTCACCACCCAGTCTCCCCCGGGGGGGTACCTCTTCTCCGGCAGCGCGGGCTGCTGCTGCAGCTGCTGCAGGGCTCCCTCCACGCTGCCCTGCTGAACCGGGTGATCGGACGATTCCTGCTGTTGACCATTGCCACCGAGGACGGGGGAATTCGTGGGAGGTGTCCAGAGGTGTTGAACGGGAGACCCGCGGTACTGCCAATTCTGTTGCGGGTGACCGTAGGTTTCGGCGCTGTGGTTGACGCTCGCATGGCCTTGGTGAACCTGGCCGTCTGCGTTTGATGTCGGAGACCCGTGGTGCTGCAGGAGTATGCCACCGGCGTTGGGCGCCGAGCCGATGGCCTGGGCTTGGGGGGCCTTGCCGAAGGTCCTCGGCTGGCTGTTCACGGAGAGACCTTGGGGGCTCGTGAGGCCTGTGGCAGGCGAGGCCACGTTGCCGGGAGAGTTGTAAGATTGGGAGTTGTGCGATTGGGCCCCGACGCTGTTCGATTTCTGCAGAGGCGCCTCGCTGCCATTTCTCAAGTGCGGCCGGCCTCCTGCGCCCATCCCCAGTCTGGACCCTAAAAAAAAAATGTTTCAAGCAAACACACGTCACTTACGTACGTACGTTGCATGTTGAACTTCTTTCGCGCCGTACATAACCAACCGTGCTAATCGGAGGTCAAGCCAGGAAGGGTAAAGGCTTTTTTTGTATTTGTCATCTTAATACAATACTGGCAAAAAGCATCCATAGATACGTCAAGGCTTTAATGTACCAGGGAAACACTATTATGAAATATATTTTTTAAGCAGAGTGGTTTGAGATTGTATCCACCGCGAAAAAGTTCGAAGCGCCAGAAGCGTTACGGCCAAGCGAGCTCAAGAAGAAAGTCCGCAAAGTAATACCGCTTTCACATTCACGCTCTCGCCATCGTGCGGCAGATTAATTCTCTCTTCAAACCGCTGCCATTGTTCACACCTGGCCCCGGAAATCTGCTATTCATGAGGGTGGAGATTTGGGGGGGGGGGGTTTCTGCCTCGCTTTGATTCCTAGAAATGCCACAGACTGCTGCACAACAGTAGAGGACAGTACTTCAATAGTGCGTGGGAAGCCTCCAGGCAACGACACGCAGGAGCCGAGAGATCAGCCATCTCTCAAGGATAACAGTCTGAGGGGGGAGGTTATGACACAACCACAAGCCACGGCTCCAGGAGCGGAATTAAATAATTTCTTGCAGATTTGATAACAGTTATGAGGCAATGTAACGCCGTCCTTCAAGGTAGTTTTACAAAATAGTCCTTCACATCGTTTGCCAAACTGATTTGCTGCGTGGGAGAAGAATGGATGTTATTTGGCTTGATCTTGTCAACACATACCAAAGTGGCGTGGTTATGTGACCCAACTCGACTCTCTCTCTCTCTCTGTCTGGCCAACACGTTCAAAATAATTGCTAACACCCACGGCAAAATGGTGATAACATAATGTGCGTGACAAAAGTGCTTCCAGTCTTGCCCTGCCGCTTTTACTCTCACCCTGGGGCCAGCTCGGCTGACGGTTGCTGTGGAATGCAGATTGATAGCTAAGAGTGTTAGACCAACACCGAATTTGAGATGCTTTTTTTCCAATAATTTTTAGCAGTAGACACTTCGTTTGACATGTGTTGGCAGCGTGTAACTAATGTGCTGTGTAATTGTTTTTTTCTTCATTTTATTCGTGTATGGACGCTCCTACACTTCGTTTTTAAATACACCCTGTTAATAACTTGCAGGCCTGATAGGGTTATTTCACAAAGCAACATGACGGAAAAACCCCACGGGGACGATGCAAGAATGTTACGGGCATGTATAACTTACGTAAGACATCCATTGAGACAAAGTTGTAGGCATATGCGTCAAGTAGAATGACAATCAAGAAAAAGTGTGAGTTTCACTAAATTTGCTTCATCCGAAAATAAATCCGATTTATAAACCGCAACATCAACGTACCTATCGTTTAGTGGTGCAAGAATGCATCAATTAACATTCATCCTTAAACTCACGACAAATGCATCAAATTGTAGGTGTAAGACTTGTTTTTACGATAATTTATGCCGCTCAAACGAGAAACTCGGGGCGGAGCTAATTTCCACTGGAATCTAAGAGCCAATGGTGGAAATTCCACATTCCCATGACAAAGGCCATTCTCCCCATAGGACAACTGCTGTAAATAAAGCGGTAGCTATTTTATCAACCCCCAAAGAGGTGATGGGCAGAGTTTTGCAGCCACCCAAATGGGCGAGCCAAGCACGAACGACAACCCGGCGCCACCCGGCTGGATTAATAAACACACCACGGGTACACGCAGCGATAAGACTCCAGTGTAAGAATGCGCAGGGAGATGTACAGCGGGATAACAAAGCCGGTTTTTGCTCGGCACGAATCGACGGGGAAGGGGCAGGAGTCTCACCCAGGCTGGGGCTTGCGCCGTAGCCCCCCTCGGGGGGGCTGTACGAGTGCAGCCCGGGAGTAAACGGGCTCCCGTACATCCCCGGCGTGCAGCGACCTGCGGCACACAATGAGTCCACCAATTACCAGGGGGAACAATCGGGCGAGGTCAAAAGCACGCAGCCGTCGCCTTGACGTCCGAGCGGTGGGGGTGGGTGGGTGGGGGGTGCCGTGCTCATCGCCGTTGCCCGCTCGACCCACCCTGGTTCACGTACGGCGTGGGCGGGCACACGGGGAACGCCGGAGTGGGCGGCACGCTCTCCTCGCGCCCGCCCGGCACCGGGGTCCCGCCGCCGCTCCCCACCTCCGCGCGTTCGGACCTCGGCCGCCCACCGGCGTGTCCCTCCGAGTGCTGCGATTGAGAAAGAAAAATCGACGATGGCAACGGCGCGGTGGGCGAGCGGTAGTGAGTGCCGCCGGGGTGGGGAGCGGTGAAATCGGCTCGCGTGTAACCGCCGGGTGAATTGTTGCGTCGCGTGATTGTGAGAGATGGTGATGGCTGGTGGAGGTCTTCATCCAGCAGTGGATTGATCATGGCCGATGATGAAAAAGCCAGTGAAAAATAATACAATATAAAAAATGCTCAATGAAAAATAAACATTAACATTTTTTATACATGATTGCAGAATTCATGCCTCTGCATTACTCAATGTTGTTAGATGTTGTACATTATTCTGTGATGTGTATGGTTGCCTGTAAAGCACAATTTATTCAGCTGAATGTTTTTCCTGGCTAATCCCAAGAGATGTAAAATCTTGTGTGTCCAGGGTGTTAAGTGACACATACGTAGCGAAAGTTATGCTACAGCATTATATTTTTCTCTCCGATACTCGGGAGAGTGGTGGCGCAGTAGCACTGCTTTATAAACCCCGGCAGTCTGAGTTAAATCCCCGGCAATGGCTAACATCAGCGGTGATTGAGATCTGAAGTGGTCCCGCGTGGCTACTCTACCCCCCCGGCTACTCAACCCGCACTGTACGTAAGTTGAACTTCTTTCGCACCGTACGTAGCCAACCGTGCTAATCGGATGTACGGGGGGGGGGGGGGGGGGGGAAGGACCACAAACTAAGCACAAAAAGCCGTTCTAAAGAAATGAGTTATTTAATCTCGGTTTAAAAGTGCGTAGCACCCAGTGGCACTGACCAGCGTCGTGAGTGTAAGAGAAATCCCTTCACCCAGAAGTGGGTCACGAAGGAAGGATTCTACGTTATAGTTATTGCCATGATCCGATGCCCACGCTCACCGTCGTCGTGTGAGAGGACGCCGCTGCCGTGGGAGTTGGGCTGTTGGGCTCGGGAGAGGAGCAGGGTGACAGCGAGTAGCTCAGGCTGGAGTTGCTGCGCGGGGTGCGAGCTCCCTCGGAGCCCTCCTTCTCGTCCCGCCCGGCTCGCTGAGCCATCGTGCGCCCCACCTGCTGCTCTGCCTGGTGAGGCTGTGGCGGAGGAGCTCCTTTTGTTGCATTCAAGAAAAGTCAAGAAGTAAACAGCCGGTTAACGGGTAGCTTGGAAAGCCTTCATGAATGCCACATTTCTCTGTGCGTCACGTGAAGAGCGTAATAAGTTGTTGAACGTTATCCCGACAAAACAAAAAAAGACAAACGTGTTATGCAATCGCACATTTGAAACAATGAAAATAAAATTTTAACAAGGGCGCTAACTTCCCGCACCTCCGATTTAGCGCGGTTGGCTACGTACGGTGCGAAAGAAGTTCAACGTACGTACACATCATTTGCTGAAAGCATGCACAAGAATGTAATGGCGTGACTTTACTGCAGCAAAAGGGAAATTGTTCGTCAATCGATGCCGCACTTACCAGGCTGCTGTGCTGCACACAATCCGCCGGCGTAGGCAACGCGGCCGTTGTGCACGACCTCTTGTGGCTTTCCTTGCTCCGGTGCACTGTTCCACGTTGGCGATGCAAATGCTAACGTTTGAGTGTGCTGAACAATTATGTCCTCAGAGGGCCTCATATTTTCCGTGTATTCTTCCACTGGTTTCTGGACATATCCATTCCCATTAACAGCCTGGTTGTATACGATGGACTTATTGGAAGGTGAACGATGGTCGGTGGTGCTTTCTGTCGTTGGTCGATTGACAATCGCACAGTTACCATCCGGAGGCGGTCCCAGTGGTTTGAAGGTTGGGTCCAACTCCTGGATGAGCTTGTTGAGCTCCAGCAAAGACTTCTCAAAGTCGGCCTGCGCCTGAAGATCCGGAAAGCCGAGCGCCAGCACCTGGCCAGGAGGCAGCTCCTGCTCGTAGGCCTTACCTGGAACTGGCCGGTCGTAGGTGACATCGGACTGCTGTCGCGTGAGCGGTCGCGAGCGACTCTGCCAGCTGCTCACGGTGCGCTGCACGGCCATCCTGCTGCTCATGCTGCGTGCCGGGATCTGCGGCGTTCTCTGTGGAGCCGGCGCTCCGATTCTGTCCCCCGTCACCTCCGCAGCCGGGTGTCCGTAAAAGCCCCCTCGTTCAGCCATCGACTGTTGCTGCTGCTGGAAGGCAGGCCCGACGTGCTGGTAGGCACTGTTCTGGTCAAATGCCACCGTTTGATTTGGAACAGGCTCAGGGCTTCTTATTACGATCGAGGACTTCATTGTCTGCTCTTGATAGAGTCCCATTCCACTGTTACCATGAGCATTCCTCACCGGTGCAGCGCTGTAACTTCGGTTCACCGCATTCATCACGACTGTTTCTCCTGGGATATTTCCAGCCCTGCGGTCGTGAGCATACCCGTTCACGAGGGCCGGCTGAACGTTGACGATGCGGTTTCTCGCGGCGACGCGATCTTCGGCGCTGGCGCTGACTGCTCCCTCGCCCGCCTTTCCGGAGCCGCACGCGCCGCCGCTCGCCAGATCGTCGTCGTCCAGAATATCCGTCTCGCGCTCCGTCCCCGCCGAGCCGCCGTTGACGTGCACCTGGACGGGGACCACACGCAGCGCCGCGCTCGCCTGCGCCGTCCCACACGCCGACTCTTCCCTGCCGCCGCCGTTCCGCGCCGGCCGCTTTGCCGGCTCCCCGGCCCCACCCGCCCCGGCCGCCGTTCCCCCCGCCGCGGTCGCCGCGGCGCCGTGGAGGTGGCTGTGGGGGTCGTCCGTGCGCTCCGTCTTGGTGGACGCGGTGGAGTTGCCCGAGTCGGTGCTCATGGAGCGGTTGTGCTGCGCGGCGCCGCTGGTCGACACAGAGAGGCCGTTGCCGGCGGTCGGCACGCTGTCCGTGGAGCCTTTCTTCTTCACCCTTGCGTACAGGCTGCCATCCACGGGGCCCTCCGTGTGGGGCACTTCTGTGCAAGAATGGGGACACGTCGACGGTGCATTAACGTGATTCACGTCGTCGGTGTATTTGCGTGTTCAACGAGACGAGAGGCACTAAATGGGGAGGGGCGTTTGTAGCGGTTTGGTACCAGTGGAGTGTAGAGCAAAGCAAGCTTGTCTCGGAGTCTGTTAACAAACTCAACTTTTATTCCCAATAACTTAAAACTCCCATCAAATGTTATTTATTCATCTTATGCAATATCAAGAGATCTCCGAACGTTATGTTTTTACTTTGGGTTATGTTTTTACTTGGGGTTATCCAAATGTAAACAACTGCCACGTCTTACATAAGAACAGTATTTATTTTTACAATATTTTTTTTTACACAAGAGTGAGCCGACAAAACGACACATCTTTAAATGTACTTTTTCAAATCTGCTTTCCAAACTTTTATAGGATTAGGACGCACCTTCCTGTAGATTCCTCGCCAAGCAAGACATCTGACAAAAGCCAACGTTTTCAGCCGTCGTGTTTACCGTGGACATATTGACTCGATCATCCACATATGTTGCTTCAAGCAAACCGGCCAAACGTTTACAATATCCTTCTCTCTCCCATGCACTTACCTTCGCCCGCTGCATGGAAACGTTCAACGAGCAAGGCGGCGATGGGCCCCGCGAAGATGGCAAGGTGCGTGTGCTGCCACAAGTGCGTACGTGTGAGGTTTTAAATCTCCGAGCTCTGCTCAACATACTAAACGGATTAAGAATGGAATTCGGGAAATATGAGGCACAGCGGCTCTCGCACAGCTCTCAAGTATTTGGCAGAGGTACAGTCGTGTACTGTACTCGAGGTGAGAGAAGAGGGAAAACACAAAGTGAAGAATTTTCTGGGGGGTGGAGGAAGCTGTTCAACAATCTCTCCGTTCCTCCATCTCGCTCGTTACCAAAATACAAAGTGGAGCGTTTCTAAACATTTTACCAACGTTCGGTGTTCACGACAGGAAGATTCCTGCCTTTACGCGCGTCCTCCTCGTAGACGTGCTCGTAAAAACGAAGACGTGAATTTGAAAGGGGGGCCTCTCTTTGCACCGCGACATCGCGTCACAAACGCATGGCCGTGGGAGGAGGTCGGGAGTCCCCGATGTAGCAAAGGGAGTCCCGAGGGGCCAGACGGGCGTTTGTCCGCTCGTGTGCAACTCGTCTCTGGACAATGCTCAGGCGGGGGCTCAGCTACTGCCGCCGCCGCCGCGGCGTCGGTGTCCTTCGTGCCGAGCGGTCGTAACTTCAGAGCTGTCGGTGGCATTAGCTGGCCCAGGGGAGACCCTTCTCCCCTGGGCCAGGGCTGCACGTTTGATTTCGTCTCCGGGTAGAGGGCAGCCGCACAGCAACCCCGACAACCGCCTCGGCAGAATCACGCCGAGAGACGTGGAATTAACCCGATTTTTTTTAATCACGCGATGATGCGTTTGCAATCTTTTGCTTCCAAATAAGATCAGCATTAACAACCTAAGTTGATTCTGTCGGAGCTTAGATTTCGCAAATTCCGAGAGCATAATCCCCACGGTTTCTACCACGTTAGCAGTTGTGCCTACCGCGAGGCTTCGGTAGAAACAAACAGTTACCGTGTGGTGTGATTATAAATCACTGTGTCCTGTAGTGCTACATAACAGTTACCGTGTTGTGTGATTATGAATCACTGTGTCCTGTAGTGCTACATAACAAACCAGTTACCGTGTGGTGTGATTATGAATCACTGTGTCCTGTAGTGCTACATAACAGTTACCGTGTTTTGTCTGATTATGAATCGCTGTGTCCTGTAGTGCTATATAACAGTTACCGTGTGGTGTGATTATGAATCACTGTGTCCTGTAGTGCTATATAACAGTTACCGTGTGGTGTGATTATGAATCACTGTGTCCTGTAGTGCTACATAACAAACAGTTACCGGGTGGTGTGATTATGAATCACTGTGTCCTGTAGTGCTACATAACAAACAGTTACCGTGTTGTGTGATTATGGATCACTGTGTCCTGTAGTGCTACATAACAAACAGTTACCGTGTGGTGTGATTATGAATCACTGTGTCCTGTAGTGCTACATAACAAACAGTTACCGTGTGGTGATTATGAATCACTGTGTCCTGTAGTGCTACATAACAGTTACCGTGTGGTATGATTATGAATCACTGTGTCCTGTAGTGCTACATAACAAACAGTTACCGTGTGGTGTGATTATGAATCACTGTGTCCTGTAGTGCTACATAACAAACAGTTACCGTGTGGTGTGATTATGAATCACTGTGTCCTGTAGTGCTACATAACAGTTACCGTGTGGTATGATTATGAATCACTGTGTCCTGTAGTGCTACATAACAAACAGTTACCGTGTGGTGTGATTATGAATCACTGTGTCCTGTAGTGCTACATAACAAACAGTTACCGTGTGGTGTGATTATGAATCACTGTGTCCTGTAGTGCTACATAAGAGTTACCGTGTGGTGTGATTATGAATCACTGTGTCCCGTAGCGCGACGTAAGAGAGCAAGCAGGTTGATTTGTGTTACATAACACTACACTATTCACTGTAGAAAGAAACTCATCCACAAAAACTAAAAAAAAATCACTGTTGAAACGTTTAACAAGTCCAGCGGTCCACCTTCTGTTGGTTACGCAAATGTTTTGACTTGCAGGAACGTTACGGCACAACCTCGTGACTTTGTTTCACATCTCTGAGGCGCATGCAAAACATTGAACCTCCGACAGAACGAAGCCGTTTTTCTCTTTGCGGGACACAATCGACCCCACAATACACACCTCACAGAGAGCTACGCGACACGACCAAGACAAATGACACTTCAACGTCAGGTCACCAGTAACCACAAACACGCAGCCGTTCCACAACATGACCACCCCCTCTGCCTCCACGCTGTGCTTGCAGGAAAATACACAAAGGTGGAAACTATCAAGGACAACTTCCAAAAAGTACGTACGTAAATTTTAACTTTTACCAAAACCTGTCCTGGCTAAGGGTGGTTCTGTCGGTCTCGCAAATGGCACTGAAGATTGGGATTGTTTTTAAGGTTGGCCGTACCTAGGACGCCACGTTTGGCGAGATGTTAACTACCTCACCTGTTAAACAGGGGGTTGTGGGTTCGATCCTGACCGTGACGCCTGAATATCTGAAGTTTGTCTGTTATCACCATGGCCACGTGGATTTTTCTGCAAGTCCTCCGGGTTTTCCCTCCACATTTAGAATCAATATGCGCTGAGAGTAATTTGGCCGCTGTAAATGTCCACTTGAAAAGCCACTTCGTTGAGCTATCATTGGTGGCCAGATCGCTTCTGAAAAAGAGCTATAGCTCAATGAGCCTTACCTGGTAAAATAAAAATGTAGTTCTCGGGCTGCACGCGAATCGCGTGCGAGAGCTTTATAGAGCAACCATGTGCCACGGCCACTGCCAATCTATCCACCAGGCAGCGGTGGATGTAGTCAGGCTGCGGGTCATATGGCGATTGTACAGCTTCTATAAAAGAAAAATTTACGGCCATCTACTTCAGCAAACTCGCCCGCCAACAACGCCTGTGTCCGTGGGAGACCGCCGCAAGCAACACAATGCGCTCGACTCGGAAAGGGAACGCGACGAGTAAAACAGTTTAGACTGTGCATACCTGTGGCTCAAGATATCAACGCTGGATCAATCGCATAGACACCGGAGAAAAGAGGCCACCGGCAGGCACTATCCTAGGCCGGAGCTGCGGGCTACGAAGGCAAAAGCAAAAAAAATGTACATATCCTGCAAGGCTGCGAACTTCTCGACAAATATCTTTCTTTTCCCTCCTGGGGCCCAGCGCAGGGGCCAGGTCAGTTGAACGGGGAAAATATTTTTCGGCGTTTACCCACCAGCCTGCCAGCAACCTCGGGGGCACCAACCCAGAGCAAACATTTGTTGAGCCTCTGAGCAGCAAGATCTCCGTTGGATCTCGTAGACTTCAGCAAAAACGTCCTTTGCTCTTCAACACATCACGCATCTTGTGTTGGTTTATCATTCAATGTATGCGCAGCCTTTTTCAGCATGTATGTAGTTCCTTGTGCGGTGTGGCGGGCAGGTAGCGGTGTGAAACTGCTAGAGCCGACGTGTTATTTTAAAATACCGACAAATTCCTTACGACGAATACGCACGATAGAAAAAGGAAACATTCAGTACCTTCAACGCTGTCCTCGCGGTGCACGTTAAAGGTTTCGTAAGAATCCCAGCGGATGAGGGGATCCGAGGTGTTGTAATCGACACTTAATTCGGGATCGTTCTGATACATGTCGCTGCCTGAAAGAGAAAAGCCATTCTTTTTCACTGTCGGGGTGGGTAACGGATGAACACAGCCGTGCTGTGGTGCCGCGTGGCAGCCGTCGCAGTTTTGTATCGGAGTGACTTGTGGCCTTTGCCGTGCAATCTGAATACAAATATGTTTTTAAAGATGAAATCTAAAATGTGTTGTGCTGAGTTTGAGAGACCGAGTTTGAATGCCTTATCCTTCATTCTAGATTAAAAACTCGTTCTCTAGATTGAAAACTCATTTCTTTAGAACTTATTTTCGTGTTTGTTTGTTCTCCTTTCCCCACATCTCCGATTAGCACAGTTGGCTACGTAAGGTGGGAAATAAGTTCAACATACGTACATACTACGCAAGTTTAATGCGCTTGCTCTTTCGTACATATCAGCGAAATGGACCACACGCTTGAGCCTACTTCTCAGGTTCATCATGTGACCAGTTCACTATCATCATAACTAGTTACCGAGTAAGGTGATTTGCTTACTTACATATCATTAACAATTTACAGCCTGCTATCAATAGACTTCTGAATGAAGGCCTCCCCATCCTCACAACGGTGCCAATCATCGGAGTTGTTTTAGCAGACCCCACTCCTCACCGGCCAGTGACGCAGGCAGCACCAAATCAGTCCGCTCCTCAAGCCAGCTGGGACTTTAAATCAAACTCAGGTTGCTGGGATCATCGCGCAAAGCATTAACCACTGCACTACTTATCCATTGTCCGCAGTTAACTGTTCCGTAAAAAAACGTAAAAAAAACACAATGTCCTACCTGGGGGCTTCTCTGGACCCGGTGAGAAGATAAACTCAACCTTCCCATTTTCAGGAAATCTTTCATCTGCAACAAAAGCATTCGGTCAAAACTTTCACGTGGTTTCTCATCACATTTGAATGATGTTGCACGCGTCTCTGCTTGCTACATTCCAGGGAACTGGCTTGCCCGTGTTGGTCTCTGCCGCAGAGTTATGTGTAAACTTGCAACTACAATAGCCGTTGTGAATGAACGGCCGTGATTACGATCTCGCTTGCCACTGTGCACGGAGGCACCTACAGCAACAATACAAGGGCCAGACGTAAAATCCCTCGCTGAATCGGCGCCAACTTAGCGGACAGACGCGTCCGTGACAAAAGCTGTGTGAGCTGTTGCGTGCTATGGTACCCAATACAATCAGAACGGCAAACCGAGCTAGCCGATCGGTTTATACGGAGCAAAATTACACGTCAGACGATTCTCGGCACTGCGAAGTAGAACACTTTTAAGCTTACAAAGATAACGACAAAGATCCCCCCGTATAGCCTTAGCACATTTTTGGGGCAAATGCTGTTAGCGAGCACCTATTAAGGCCGGAACAGTACACGTGGGTGGCGAGCACCACGCCCGGCCACCTTTGTCTCCCAAGTGGCGATGTTTACCCCCACACTGCACCAGGTACTCATTTGAAGCTGAGTCGACCTAGGGGAGGCCCAGGATCGGTTCAGATAATCATCACCGGTGTTGGCCATGAGCGTGAATTTAACTCGGGTGGCCGGGTTCGTCTGTGTAGTGTCGCTACCCGCGACACTACACGGACACACCCACGCAATTAGCGAGCGAATTCAGCACAAAACACAGGAAAGTGGTCCGTGGCAGATTCATCCTCCGCGGGTCAGCCAAACTCCACGAGCGTCGCGTCGTCGCCATCAGCTTCAAGAAGACATGCAAGGGCCGCGACGCAAACTTGGCATCGCCTCGCGTCCCTCTATACAGACAGGCAGCAGTATCAGATCGGCGGCGCGATGGCGGCGGCGAGTCGCCAGAGCCGGCGTGGTGGGCGAGCTGTTTTGTTTGCGAGTGGCGGCGTGGTCGTGGCGCGCAAGTCACCGCGGCAGGCGGCGTCCAGCTCCTCCTTGCCGAGCGCGAGCGGGCTGAAGTCCTGCACCACGCACGTGTGGAACTGCGCGCGGAACACCTCGTCCCGCGTGGCCGAGCGGTACTTCTTGTGGTAGCACTTGACCTTCGCGCGTGAACGTTCGGGGGGGGGGGAGGGGGGCAGGCAGGAAAAAAAGGGGGGCACATTTTTTTTGGTTTCCACTTCGCGTTAGAGGAGTGGGCGAGAGGTTGCGGTTGCCACCTCCAATTTACAGCCTTCAGCCAGTGGCGGATATTCCACATTCCTATGACGGGGGTGAGTATATCCGTAGAACAACAACTGTTGACTTCCCCATGAAGCGGCACTCATTTTATCGAACCCGGTAGGATGATGAGCCGAGTCGAACCCCAATCAGGATTTGAAATTCACAACCTTCCGATCGCACGCCGCTTGCTCTACCGCTGAGCCACCTGAACCACCATCATCTTGATCGCTGCAGTGGTATAATTACGCAGCTGACAATTATCCAGGACATTATTTATTCACTAGGAAGACTTACAGATTTTGCTCTGGCTCCATTAACAAGAGGCAAACCAGGGCAGGTGGCAACCCAAGGTGCAAGCGTTTTCCAAATCCACAGCAATCGGAACTGCTCTGATTGCCTTCTAGCACCACGGGCGCTGTGGGGTGCTTTCTGTTGTTGTTGTTGCTGCTGCTGCACCACCACACACGTGTTTTTCACTAGCGTGCAGCCCACATGCTGAACGTACAGTACTTCTGAAGGGAATGCGAGGCTAAAGGCTACATCTGTCACAGCCACATTTTTCGGGGTGTACCAACAAGATAGTTGAAAGAATGTTTTTTGCGAGATTCAAACCACAACAATTTTTTTATTTCCTTAACATCTTTGTGGTTTTTTTCTCTGACCATATTACCAAGTGGCGGTTCTTATACTGCCATGATACTGAAGTCAATTTATTTTTGTTACAAAGAAACCAAAAATAGATATATCATTACCTGTGCCGGCTGAGAATATAAACATGCTCTTTGTTAAATTTCGACCCGAAAAAAATCTGAGTAATGCGAAATGGGACCAGGAATCCCGAGAAGAGTGATGGATATAGAGGAAAATTCAACGGGACTACTCATGGGTACAGGTGCATGTCACCGTAACTCCACCAGCTGTCACTTCAAAAGCTCTTCAGGACTGCAGAGGGCCGGGGGAAAGTGCTGATCAATCTTGGCTCTTCAAATCTGTCACTTGTGTTTGTAAAAAAGCAAAGGTTTCCTCTTACATGACTTTAGATGAAGCCACTGTGTCCTTTCATGAGCTGCGCGCTGTTACTCGGCGTGTAAGCACGGTGCTCCTGCGGCTGCTCCTCCCATGGCTCATGGGCTGGACAAGGGCCCCATACGGACCCTCTCAAAACATCCACGCGCATCCGCATTGAGCGTCTCTAAAAGCACTTCCCTCCCTAGTATTTATTCTGACCTAAGTAACCGAGCCAAATTAATGCCGTTGTTTTTTTGCCGTGCGTACAAGTTTGTTGGGAGCATCCTCTGGCCATGGGGAAAAAAGACAAATGCGGTGGCTGCAGATGTTATTTAAATTTCCGCTGTAATATATTTTACTCGTAGCAATATATTGATATGTCGAACTCCATGATATTGCCCAACCAATGAAGATCATTTTTTTCAGATAATTTTTATTACACCACATACATATAAACAAAACATAGACGAACGTAAAATATGTTGAAAGTGTTGCACGTGTACGTGAACACCTTTAAGGCAGTCTTTGTTAACACAGATCTTGCATGTCATCACCGCACATGTAAAACAGGCCTCAATCTCCTAACGTTTCCTTCATACGGTGGAACCAGCACAGACGTTCCTGACATTTGCTCCATTATCTGCAACCCGATCCGGCACATAGCGCGGACTCTGCGACCAGAGCAGGAAACGAGAGCCACGGAGAGCATCGCTTCACTAATGCGGCTTGTCCCCATCTCCCTCGCCGATGATGGAAGCGACACGTCGGAGGCCCTGACATTCCTCGACTATCTCTCTCCCCCTACGTTCTTCCCCGGCACCCACTCAGGGTCAGGTGCTGCGGGACGCGGACACCCCACGGCGGTCCGCTTACAGGCCCCCGGAAAAATAATCCAAAACAAATGCTTAAATTGTGCCTCTGCGCCGGTTGGCCGGGTCATTTTCACACGCATTGCATTAATTTTGCGGCCCCTTGCACAATGGTTTGGTTAACGACAAAAGTAAATAAAGTCGTAAATTTCAAACACGTGGTTTTCACACAGAACAAGCCCCTTTCATTTCAGATTTTAAATCGTGAAAACCTATACAGAACTGTATAGTAAAGTATGCCGGCTATGAGGCAAGGAGTCGGCGTAGAGCATAGGGAGCCCCTTTTACCTGCTGTTGCGTGACAGAGGCACTGGCGACACAGCCACAGACAGACAGGATAACGACGGGTGGGGTGGGGGGAAATCGTGTCGGGGGGCTTTCGTTATCGATGTCGCCATCGCCGTGTGCCCTGCCATGGCGCGACTGGCTGGGTTGGGCTACCGGCTCGCGGCTGGGATGGTGACGGAGCCCCTAGACATGGGGCAGATCTCCACTCAGATTACCCCTTGGAGGTGTCTTCCATTTTCTCAGGTTCCCTGAACCTTTTCAACCTAAAGTTTTCACGATTCCCTTGGTGCCCACAAAATGGTTTTCATTAGAGATTTCTTATTTCACGCCGACACAAACTAAAATCCCCAACGACGGATTTTATTTTCTCTCATCTGCAGACCAAATCAATAGTGAAGATAATTTAAATTAATGTGTTACTTACCAAGATATCACCCTTCAGGGGCAGCCCGGGTTCGATTGTAATACAGAAACTGTTGGAATGTTCGGTTGTGATGTTGCTGCAAAGAAAAACAAGAAAAAAAGGACGGTTTCTTTTTTTAAACAGACATTTACAATTCCTAAAGGGAAATATGAATCACTTTTGACACATTACTCACTGCCGTGAGTTATTTTAATAAACGGAATATGCGTGCAGTTAGCCATACTCACTAGACGCCAGACGTGTAGAGAGGCTGCATGGCTTGGTATATTTTGAGAAATGGCCGGCAACCTGCGACGGTAAACAGGAACTTACTAACAATGGGATATTTGTAACAGGGGAGCACGTTAATGGCCCCAGCCAAGTTCTACCAGCAGACACTTCCAAAGCAAATAAGGTTAAATGCTTTGGGGCAGTTTGGGCATGACTGCAACATTAAGAAACTATTTACACCAAATCTATCTTAGAGTCTGTGTCTCTAATGGGTAAAACATGGCACAAGATTTACTTTTACACAAAAGTCACAATTTATGATCATATTTACCAGTGAAGGAAGATATTTTTTTTCGGGCAAGTTTACTAAGGTTGTGAACTCTGCCCCGTGTTTACGCGATAAATATGGCCCCGTCAAGCCAGCAGGATGTCCCGAAATGACACGGATAGTGTAGATCATTGTACCAGTGCCGGCTTTATGGCCAATACAAAAATAAACTGATAATAATAAGACATCTAAATTCCTCTCAAACCTTCATGTTTACAAAACCAGAGTATTGATTTATGGATAATGTTTGGCATAATAGCGAAGCCTTAATTAAACAAATCAAAAACACTCACCACTGCCTTTTCATGGACAAAACATATACAGTGGGCTGATGATTCAGGCAATGAGAGAGAGAAGAGAGATTGACTGGCTTACAGTGGCGGATCATTATTTGCAATGTGGGGTTTTTTTTGGAAGCTGGTAAATTTTAACAAAGTAAAAACTCAAAGTGACCGCTCTCTCCAAATTGAGCACCGGGCGTTGTTCATTTCCTGTTAACAGCCCCGAGCCAGCGGTGGAAATTCCAGATTCCTGTGATGGACGCAAATCTATCCATAGGGCAACCACCGTTGGACTTGCCCACAAACCGGTACCCATTTTATCGAACCCGAACGGAGGATGGGCTAAGTCTCAACCCAGGATTTGAAAACGCATCTCTCTGATTGCGAGGCGCTTGCTCCAGTGCTGAGCCGCATGGGCAGACAACATTTACACAAACAGCTTTGATTTGACAAAACTCCAAGTGACCTCGAAGTGACATTAATGTTGTTAAAACTTTATAATCCAATAAAACGTAACAAAACTGAACAGAACGCATATATATTTTTTTTAAATAGCTCAGCGAACACTCCAATCTGTGGCTTACCTCCATTGGCCTCAAAGTTGGGCAGGCCCTGCACCACAATGTGGTGTAGAAAGAGAGGCATGTTGTTCACCTTGGTTTTTCCAGAAAGGAGCTCGCTGAAATAGGTGACATACCTGCAAAAGCCACAAAATCACCGACGTCAGATAAGACGAGCTGAAGGAAATGCAAATAAATGTAACAACGACCAAACAAGTGAGCACATGTCAGGTGAAAAATTCCACACCTCTTCTGCGAGGGCTGCGACACAGCTGCCACTTTGTCATCGTAAAATTTCTTCATTGCATATCTGTCCAGGGCCTGGTGAGCGCTGCGAGATCATAACACAAAGGGCATTTCATAAATGTAAATTCCTTTGTGACACGAAAAACATGGCATTTGGGTCATCCATCTGTCGAATGGGTTATTTATAAGGCGGTGAAAACACGATGAAAAGACAAATTTCTTTTTGAAAGGGGCACCTAAGAAAACAACGGTAAAGGACTCTACTACTTGGCTCGAGCCAAGTTCTACAAGTGGAGTAAGGTGCAGTGTTTCAGGGGTAGCTTGGGCAAAATACAAAAACTACGAAACCTGGGAGACCAGGGATCTGCGATCTCAACGCACGCTGCGTTGTTTCATATTCAGGGGGCTAGTCTCAGAAGCTGTCACTGTACCTGGCACAGATGCTGTTGTAGTACATGTAGGAGGCCACCACCACACCAGTTCGACCTTTGTTGCCCTGCAGAGGTAACACAGATTCAATGGTATATGGTAAGAATATGTTTGATTAAGGACACAAAAGATGGTTTGTTTGCCACTGCTCAATTCGTGACAAAGCAATATTAAGTAACGTAAGTGGGTTTTTTTCTCCCATGTGAATATTTTAAGACATTGCAAGGTTCAAAATGAAAGTGACAATAAATCTATTCCTCTTTTACGTGTCCTCCTACAGACCGCAATATTTACAGCAAACCACAGACACTGATTGTGCGGTTAACAAAGCCCGTGAAAGGGATCGTATTTCAAGCTCCTTTGAGTTCCCAGGTTTCACAGCAGTGACACTTCACCGACGCGCGCAGCAGGCACCTTGCAGTGTATGACGACGACGTGCTGTGGGTCCGCGTTGAGCCACGAGTCCATGGCCTTGCACAGGCTGCAGAGGATGTCCAGCGGAGGGGCGTGCAGGTCGGGCCATCCAAAGTCCTTCACCTGTCACGCCACGGTTTTCCGAGCATTAACAACACCCACGGTAGGAGCTCTTAACTTTTATTCCTGCCTGGCAGCATTTACAAATCATTCAAACAATGGTTATGGGAAGCCACTGGAGCTCTACACTTTTAAATCAAGATTGAAAACTCATTTATTTAAAACTCCTTTTTGCGTTTAGTTTGTTGTCCTTCCCCAACACTTCCGATAAGTACGGTTGGCTATGTACGGTGCGAAAGAAGTTCAACATACATAAAAACTGAAAATTATTCAAGAGATACCAGGAAATTATTCTTTGCTGTAAACACTCCGAGTGGAAATGTGTCCTGGGCGATTGCGTAACCCAGCTGCTGCACCATCCATGCTGCTTCACAGCAGCAGACCATGAATAATCTTGTGGCATACTACAATTCCACACCCTATTGCGAGCAGATGGGTTGCAGAAAGTACTTTCTGGAATCAAATCGTTATCTGGCAAGATGCCGATGTGGTTAGAGTGCACGCGACTGACAACCAAAAGTCCCACTCATGGTCAAGGGGGTCAACCCCAAGTCTATCATCCCTTGAGCGTCAACAAAATGAGTACCACACTCTGGGAAATGAACAGGGGTCGTGCTTTTTAGAGGGCGACCCCTGCCATAGGAATGCGGGATTCACGGCACTGGCTTGAGGGCTGTCGGTGAAGATGATTGCTGCTCCCCCCCCCCCCCCCCCCCCCCCCCCCCGTTGTCCGTTTGCACACGGAGGGCACTGCCTTGACTCCAATTCCCTTTAACCAGAACCTGGGGCTGGCCCAGGACATGCTGGCGGGACTATGTCGCTCAGCTGGCATGGGAACCCCTGGGAATTCCCCAGGAAGAGCTAGAGTCTGTCGCCAGGGAAAGGGAAGTCTGGACCGCCCTATACGGCACGCTGTCGCCGAGACCCTCACCGGGACAAGCGGACTGAGAAACAAACGAGAAACGATCGAACGTAAATTTAAACAGCAGGCACACGTTCAGTGGTGCACCGTTGTTGATTTTATTAACAAATCCATTATTTTATGTTTAATAATGCACGTGGCGCGATGGGAGGTTTTTTTTCTCAAGCGTGTAACGCCAGCATAGTTTAACTCTCACGAGAAAGTTCAAAACAATGGCTTGAGGTGGAACAGAGTCTCTCTTAGGTAGTGACAGTAGGCTGATGTTTGTTTGACTTCCTCTGTTGCCACAATTGCTCCGAAAGCAAGTTGCAAATGCTGACCTTTGGAGCAGGTTGTAAGCCACAGTGAGCAGAGATATTTGTGATGTGTTGAACGTGGTATTTATTTCGCTCATATCCTGCGTACGATATCGAGGTACTCACTTGCGGATTGAGCTTTTCAATGTCGTGCCTTCTTTCAGAAAGGTTGAGAATCTAAAAAAACAAAAAAAATATTTGCACTCGTTCGTGATACAAACGTAAACTTGCAACAAAATAAATCAATACCTTGCGTGTAAATTGCTTACGTGTAGAGGGGCCACTTGTGACCGCCATCCACAATGACCAGCGTGGTGAAGTATGGTAAAAAAAAACCAAGCAACCCATTTTCTACAAAAAGGTGGGGGAAGCCTTCGTCCATAGGTGAATTAAGAAGTATTCATAATACAAAGAGGAGCGCAAGCCATTCTTTTTGATAATTCCACCGCCACAAAACCAAACTGAGCAATATAAGATCGGACCTCAAGCCATAGGGCCTGTATTCTGAGGGGTTTCTTCTTGTAGCACACATTCGACAAGAGGGCCTAAGCTACTCAAGTGCAAAGAACTTAGAATTTCAACTGGAAGAGTGGTATCTCACAGGCGGTGGAGATGATTCACTGACAGACGTTTCAACTGTGCACACACACCCCAGCCAAACGCGACGACCTAGGCCACAGTTGAAGTCTTTGTCCCGCTGAGATCCAAACTTAGAGACGTTGTGCTAAATGCCAGGCCAGATACCACGTAGCCTAGTATCAATATTCCTACTGTGGCCTCAACTCTATGTAGAATATCATAGGACATCAAGTCACCCGCAGAAGATTCTCTTGGATTCAATTTATTCCGCAAACAATGGTCTCCATTGAATTGCATCAAAACATCGCATGGCAGATGCAGCTGCCTTCTACACCGATGGAATATTAAGAATAGCCAACAGTGCGACTGACTTCACTCATCTTAAACATTGAAGTGCACAGTTACGCCACTGCCGACTTCCATCATTCGCCAGCAGTATTTCAGATATTTACCAGGTTATTCCTGCATCTGTCTACTGGCGCACACATTTCGACATTAACATATAAACATTGCTGATCGACTCTGCCAAATGAAAGACGGAACATCACAAGGTGTCCTTGGCTGATCCCGATGACGCCTGAAGCTCACATACACCAACCCGGCCGACCTCTATGGACGTTCTAACACGTAGGCTTTCACGACCAATATTTTCCAGAATAAAGTTGTTGTTTTTTGGGGTTAGATTGCGTAAATATCAATGTGTCGTTAACCCACCACCACCCGACACAGCCAATTGGTAAGGTTTGTCATGTAAGCAGAACGAACCATATTGGTTACTACTTCAGCACACCGGTGTGATGGAGAGTAAACCCACAAACATTTACAATTTGAGTACGGCGCTTCGCTGGTGATTACAACCAGCTTCATCAGGCCCAGGTGATTAACCCGAATTGTACGGACGCGTGGAGCGCGACGTTGGTGTGCTCACCAGGTAGTTGTCCGCATGCTTAGATTTGAGCATGTGCGCCACCTCGCGCAGCTGCTGATGGTACGTCAGCTGGGAGCCTCCCGGCGGGTAAGACACGGCGATGATTCGCTCGGTGATGTAGGTGAGATCCAGCTCCTGGCCGGGCTCCATATTCAGCTCCACGCTCCAGCTGCACGGCCTGCGGAAGGCCGCGGCACAACGCGTTATGCGGAGAGAACGCCGGCGCGGCGGTCGCGCCTCACCCCGTGCGTCACCGCGCGCTTTACGACACGCTCTTTGCAGACGGAACAAGATGGGAACAGATGGCGCTCGTGGAAATGCCAAGGTGATATAAACAAAAGCACACGGCCGAATGTATTACGAGTGAGGTGTGTTGTCTGTAAAATACACGCATCCCTTTGAGATAAAAAGGCTTTTAATCTTAAGATGTTATGTTCTTAGCAATGTTTCATCAAGACTGTACATTTCACAAGAAAGCGTCATAGATGCACACTTAGCTTTCCTGTTGAGATTTATCCTGCCTGATAATCATAACTATTTGGATGTTATTTTGAACATCAAACAGACAAGATAAGGTGAAAAAGAATGGAACGTTTAACAGGAAATCAGCACATAGTTATGTAAATACATGGTAATTGAACGGCTGTTTTTGTACTCTGCAGAATCTCAATTCATCTCACGTGGATCCCACTGAAAGCCATAAAGGCACTGATTAAAAAAAAAAACTCACTTACTGGCTTGGTTTACGCCTGGTGTTAGAAAAACCTTCAGGGTTAGATGTCACCAACGCCTGCGAAAAGAAACGTAGCCCTTGTTACGAGAACGTTCCTCGTTTTTATTTCAGCATTATATTACCACATTCCAACATGATTAAACTCACTTCATAAACTTTACATTAAAAAAAAAATCATTCCATGCCAATGGTAGCACATCAGCGTGCAATGGATATTTGCTTGATAAAAGGGTCTTCGTTTTCTGCTCCACTCGTGTAGAGGTGAAGTGGAAGCCCTCGGACTAAAATGATCATTCTAATTTACATTTGTTTGTAAGGCGCCTTCCACTAACGTCTCAAGGCGCGTGCGCAATCGTCCAGCTCGAATGGAGTCGCCCTTTGGGTCCGCGCGCGTGTCAAACCGCGGCGACCACCCCACCCCCGCCGCCTCCTTCACGACGACGGCTACATTAATCAAGATCCGTGAAGGGGGCTCATTATCTCCGACGGAAAACAAACAGAGGCGGGGGGGGGGGGGGGGGGCGCCTTGAGAAATTTGGCGAGAGATGAGGAGTGTTCCAACGCCAGCAGTGGCCTCCAGGCTCACAGCATCGCTCGCTCGGGAGAGAGGCGTACTGTGGGTTCTCCGATGCGGGAAAACCCGCTTTGCTTCACAAACCGACCAGGTCATCCCACTACGGCTAATTCTGCGGTTTCCCAACGCCGGAATTTGGCAGCTAAAACCCGGGGATGCACACCTGTATACTGTGCTGCCAGTGGTTCATAAGAATAATGGCCATAGCACTATGAAGAAGGGTCATTGTCTGAAACGTCACACAATGTATATTTTCTCCGCAATTGAAGGGCCACAGCGTAACTGGCGAATGTGTTGAGTTATTGGTAAAAAAAATGGTGTTCCTGACTATAATATAATTAAATACTTTTTTAATATATAACACTCTCCACATTTTTCAGTGTAAGTATCTTCAGCACCGAGAAAAAAGACTAAGGCAAGCGTATGACAGCTTTACACAAGGAACACCGTTATGAATTTCACGTGGAAAACATATTAATTTAAGGTTGGAACAGGGTTATTGTACTGCTGCAGGCACTTACTGTCGGGTTTACATGCTTCGAGGGGATGTCCAGGCTGCTTGACTAAGGAGGGGGAGCAGGAAAGAGAAGAGAAACAAGAGACGATGTGAACCAGATGTCAACAAGCACTACCTCGCGAAGTATTCACGTCTTCCTGCCCCCGGTGGCCTAACGCTCATTCACTGGCCTGAAGGGGCTAAGGAGAAAGCACGTCCCGTTTCAACAATTTGTTCCATCATTTCCCAATTCGACCGAGAACAGTCTCGCAAATTCAATTAAAAAGCCCAGCGCGCGAGAAAGACGCGACCGGTGGTGAATATCAGATTCAGGCGTCACGCGTGAAGTGTGGCGAATGTGAAGTTGTGATTTTACTCGACACCTCCTGCCACACAGCACGGCCAACGCAACATTGTCAGAGAAACAACTTTACGAGTGACGGGGAGGCGACGCGCACAGAGGTCAACTCGCGACGAGTTCACGAAACAGAAGCTGCCTGTGAGCCCTCGTGCAACCGCACACCTCAAGGTTTACAGACGTCCATACGCAGCGCGCGATCTCAAGCGCGTCCTTACCGCGCAATTTATTGTATTCATACGCATGGTAGATAGCAAGTCGGAAACGAAACAAAAACAGCGCAAAGGTCCGCTCGTGACCCTTAGCCAGCACGCACCTGTACACGGCTGTACCTTGTGCAGTGAGCCGAGGAAGTTCACCGAAGCGGTCACAATCAAAAGTAAACGCCGCCTCCCCCCCCCCCCCCACGGCACGAGGGGATCCCCTCTCACACCGGGGCCACAGCGGCCCCCAGTCGCAACCAAACCGCAAGCCGGCGCCCTCTCACACGCGCAGACACGGCAGCGTTGCGCTTCGCAGGGCGGCGCGGGGAAATCGCGCACATTTTCACGATGCTCAGAGGGTGGGAGAAAGAGAGAGAGTTTGGGAGGGGAGGAGGCCTGGGTGTGTGTGGAGGGGGGGGCTCCTACTGGGCAGCTTGGTATTGGCCAGGGATCGCCTCAACACCTCCACCCCCATGCACCCCCCGTGAGAGATGCAAACGCGAGAGGAGGTGAAATGACCCAGACCACGTCTCAGACAATTTATCGCGAGGTGATGAAGGATTGCGTGCTGCGATCTACAATAAAATGGTTGACAAAAACAATGGCAGTTAATTCCGCGCACATGCAAACCGCAAATTGGAATTTTAATCTCGTTCTTTTTTCACGACATTGTTGAGGCAATGTTCACATTCGTTTTTGATTACCATAGCTTTATCTGTGCATGCGAAATCAAAATATCAATCCAAACCAGCTGTAACAATTTATTCCTGGCAACGTGACCAAGCTAACTTGAGCCCTCGCCGACTGCTACCTGGCACACACAATTAAAAACATTCACCCGATAGCATCTCTCAAACACAACTCCTGCTGAGGCCTCTATTGCGAAAAATTCCTGCTCTGGCCGGCAGGTTTCTCAGAATTAGCTATTTACTCAATAATTTTCCACGGCAGTAGCGTCCTCAACATCTCACCAAATATAATCAAACAACAGTCTTTAAAATCCAACACGAACAGCCAAATGACTCCCAACCAACCCAAAAAGTGATCAGACCTTCCACACAAGCAGGGCTGTTCTGTGAGGTCTGGTTGCACGCATTCACTTATCGATAGCTGCATCGCAAGACCGTGAGAGATGGTGAGGTTTTTGGGAAGCCTCCATCCAGCAGTTGATACATCGTGGCCGATGATGATGATGGCATATAAATATATTTCATTTAAAAAGTATCTGGATGCTGCCTGTCCCTCTGGCAAGACACATTTGTGTTTGGTAAACACTTGAGCAAACCTTGGCACAATACGTTGGGGCCAAGGTATCCTATCTAGAAATGAAAGCTCTGAATGTAACCACACTCTCCCTGGGTGGAGGGTTACCGACATTCAAATGGCAGTTCGACTGAACGGGTGCCAACGCACACGAAAAAAAATAATCAAACCACTCCCAATCTCATCCAGCGACACCTCAAACGACCCCAATTCAAAATCACGATGAAGTGACGCTGTCTCGCTTCTAAAAACGATATGAAGATGGTCGCAAAACACCCCACCCCCTGCCCCGCCACCGTATCGGGTATCGACATCCACCAGGACTGTCTCTTTGCACGATGACCTATGATTTCTTAGCGCCATGTCACAGTGTAAGATGGCAAACAAAGCTTATACTCTAAACACGAACAGTTAATTAGAGTTGGAAATAAGGAGACGGTAGTCGCAGGATGGAGTGCTTTCTGAAGGCTCAAATTGGTAATGTGGGTGTCCCAACGCATTTCAAGAGGTTTTCAATCAGTGGACATTGCTCGCTCGGAAACACGGACACTTACTAGAAGCATGAAGAGATGCATTTTCAGGACAAGACTGGTGACAGAATGGCATAGATAGGAGATCACACACGCGCTATGAACCTGGTGGTCCAAGTTCAATTTCTGGTCAGGGCTTAACCTTTCACCAATCCTCATTGACCAGCATTGTGAAGAATGCTCAAACAACCCCCTAGGGCTGACTTGGCAAGGCGAGGCCTTCATCCATCAGTGAATCGACTAAGGGATGTCTGTAATTGAAGTCATGATTACATTAGTATTTAAATAATAAGTATGGTAAGCTCTGTAAAAAAAAATGCCAAGGGCATTATTCTTGCGACGCAAATGTACGCATCAGCAGAACAGTCCCGGACTCGCGTCCGCAGCGTTTCCCAGCAGGCTGGGCCATTTCTCCGTTGATTTACCGCCACGGGCCAGCCCCACAGGCTTAATTGTGAGGACAATTAAACTAAATGCCTTCCTAATTGTACTTTCACTCGGGTGCCTGGAGTGTGTCAGTCCCGTCTACCAGCATCACTTTGAACAGACTCCAAACTAAATTCCCAGACATCGCGGCGGAAGCCTCATCAGATACCGTTTAGAGCAATGGCCTTGGCTGTTCATACCAAGCACTGGGGGGTGGGGGGCAGGTGGGGGGGGGCAGGTGGGGGGGGGGGTCTCCTCCCACTTTTACGTGGCGTGAGCTGGGCCCACGTCTGTGGCATCGCTGAATATTTTTGTTTCGTAGACGAGCCGTGTAAAAACTTTCAAGAGGAGGTCGCCCGGAATTATTGCTCAAAACCGTGATGTTGTTACACGCCAGCTGATTACGTTCGATGCATATAGAAATAGCAATTTAAAATAGGCGCAATACGTTTTAAATGTCCATATGCGTTTTGTAATGTCGTATGACTATTAAAACACAAGCATGTAAATGTAAAAATGCATGGTTTAAATAGCATTATTGAATCATGTTCCTTTTTACCAGTTGCCATTTACTTTTCTGAAAATGCAGTAAACCTATTTCCTTTCACCTGTTTTATTGTACCCAAATTCCCGTTTCAGCAAGGCTACAAATAGTAGAAAATATCACAGTTTACAGCTTTAAATGTTGCCGGAAAAAAATAATCGCTTTGTTTTTGTCATTAATCTTGTATAACGAGGTACAAGTCTAACGCTGTTTAAGGCCCCCTCTTCCAAGCGTCAGCATTTCGATGAGGTCCTGGCAATGGCTTTGTTTACTCGAATGAGTTATAAATGTGTTTTTGAAGGCCGCATGTGCCGAGGGTCCACGCGGGCATGGATCCCTACAAATGTGTTCGTCATTTTCGAAGGTTTAACGCCACAGTTGCTACAGCCATTTGGCACTGTCAAAAAACACAAAATTGGTGGATAGTCATTTCGGAATTCAGACAAAGTGGTCAAAAGAAAGATACAAAAAATAACGATGACAGATTGTTGCCTTATTATTCAACTAAATTGCAGGATATGAATTCCGTTTGATATGCGCTGGTTTCTCATGCGGCATCTGCTGACACAAGCTTGTAGGTGCTCCCACATACCACAGCAGCAGCAGCAGCCAGTGAGATGCTTTACATCTGGTGCACCAAGAGTACATGTGCTATCCATTAGTAGAGCTTTAATGATCCAAAGTCAGCTAGATAATGGATAATACAATTTTTGTATAAACAAACGTCTAAACTTAGGTGCACTCATTACCACAATCATTCACACGGGGTTTTTTTTTCAGGAAGAGTAGCAAGGGCGGTTGTGTGCGTACGGGATACATTTGTTATCTGATGGGCTGTGTTTCTATAACAAGATGGAATTTCAATGGGAATATTCATGCCAACAACCCCGGATTATTTCCAATGCCTACCCATGGAAATGATTTACTGTTGGAGTCAGGCTACGAGCCAATAGCCGCAGCGGCAGACGCCTTCTGTACACTTGTGAATCACGAAAGCTTCACATTCATCCAAAGAGTCAATCAACAACATTAAGCAACGTCAGACCATGCCCCCCCCGCCCCCCCCCCCCCAATCCGGCACGATGTTACAACGGTTTGTGCATTGTTTCCCGAGCGTACTCGTAAGTAAACGACGCTCGCCCCCCACAATTGAGGTCATCGCTTTAAACAAATTTAAACAAACTTGCTTTGTCTGCCAGAAAACAAGGCCCTCTCGCTGCGTTCGAGTGAACAAGCCCCCCCTTTTCACGGCACACACGACGACCGTGACACCTGCCAGCGAGCGGCATTTCTTTTTTTTTTCACCAAGGAATGTTTTAGAGTCGCTGAAACCTTCAGGACAGGAGTATGCATGTGACACGCCATGCGGTGGTCATGGGAGGAGGTGTTGGGGGGGGACTGCTAGACAGGTACTGTATATAATCTCACGCCACCGCACTGGCGCCTAAACAGCATACCAGAAGTCATCGCTGCGATTTGTGGGCAGCTGTTCAAACCCCAGTGCGGTTGTACTCGTGCAATAATTCCGTGAAAGGCCGTCGTAATCATAATTTGTAAACATCTGCACAACAAAGTAGGCGCACCTTAAAGGTAGTAAATTAAATGCTGTATTATATTACACTCCATGGATTTCAAAATTAAATACACAATGCTAATTATACCGACACTGGGGGCACTAAGCAACAAATTATGTGGTGAGAGTAGTCATTCACTCGTTTAGATACCAGACCAACAACAACAAAAACATCTGTCTATGTATGTATACCTGTTGAACTTCTCTCGCACCGTACATAGCCAACCGTGCTTATCGGAGGTGCGGGGGAAAGACAACACTAAACAACAGCAACAACAGTTGCCGCGGCAGCTGCAATGGTTATAGCGCGCAACGAACTTGCAATGCAGTGGACGCAGGTTCAAACTCCAGGTGTGGCGGTTCAAACAATGGGGGGCTCTCACCATTAACACCGCAGCAGCCGGCTGCATTCTGTAAATTAAAAGTGGTTCTCAATCCAGTTCAAGTGAAAGGTGCCCACTGAAAGAGATTCAAGTCCAAGCGATTTCCTGACCAAATGAGCATTGAGGTGGTGCTCACCTCCCATGACTCAGCGGTGTAAATTCCACATTCCTATGGCGGGGGAGAGTCTCTGCTTAGAACAACCTCCATTGACGTCCTCACAAAGTTGCATTTATTTTAATGACACCGGAGGGAGGGATGATGGTCTGATTGAAACCGCAACCAGGATTGCAAGTTGTGAGCCGCTCTCTCTATCTCTCTCTCTCTCTCCTACTAAGCCACCTGGAGGTCTTAAACAAAGCGGTGTTCAATCCAGTTCAGGTCACCAGAGGTGTCAACTGAATGGGATTAGGCGGCGACAAGAGGCTGCACGGCAAACCCCATTCATCCTGTGTGCACGGAGAAGGCGGCTACTGAAAAATAGAACACGATCCAATCGTCGTAGGGTGAATATGACCGCAAATTAATGTTTGCTTTTGCTTCTTCCTCTTACACATTGTGCCTTTGTGCCAGGACGTGCGGCCCAGAAAATCAACAATTTGCAGTATTAAAAAACAACAGTGAAACAGCACGAGAGAATTAGCGCCTTTTATTCTTTAAAGCCAAATCAAATACAAGTGGTTCTGCTTTACAATAAGGCCACAACCGTGGAGAAAAAAAAAATATAGGGTGAATGATTGTAGGCGCGCGAATGAGACCTCAATCCAGTTTCCCCGATGAAAACCGAATTATACCCTGCCCGCTGGCGCATACACACAGGCAGCCCATATTTATTGAAACCGTACTTTACGCTCCAGTGTACGCAGCCCAAATAAGGGCCCAGCTATTCCGCAACGGAGATTTAACAGAAGTTATGTAACGGCGACCAAGCCGAAGCTCAAAGTGCATGCGTCGAATGGTGTGTTTTGGAATTAACTTATATGTTTCGTACGCAATTGGTTCATGTCGCCTCTGAAGCCAGCCATTGGAGGCACTATCATTTAGCGCAGTGTTAACAATAAAACACAGTAGGTTTTAGGATGGAATCGCAGCCCTGTATCTTGCATCACTGGGGGGTGTGAATAGTTCATCACCGACAGATATCTGAGATTGCATCAATATCGTGACAAGTAGGTGGCCTTGGGTAGGACGCGTCGCGAGACGGGACAATGGCCGATGCTCAAGACTAACTACGGAGTGGCAGCCAAGGAATTGAACGCCTCTGATGCTACATCCACTGCGGAGATGAAGCAATGGATCTATTTTTGCTAATTGGTGGATTTTAACATTGCAGGATCATGAAAGATAGTGAGAGCTTGGGGATGTTTTTCATCCAACAGTGAATTGACCATAGCTAATGATGATGATGAATGGCCATGGGACTACAACATAAAAACTAAATTTCTGGAGCGTGTTTATGAGTCAAACATTACAAGAAAGTGTAATAAGCGAATAGGCACTAGCAAATAAGTAATAAAACAACAATGTCATTAAAAAAATAATTAAGCACAGATTGAAAGCCACATTTCAGTTACTTTAGCCACAATGGTTACTGAAAAGGTCACCACAAAAGTCAACAGACCTGGGGGGTTTTTCCAGCACAAAGGAACGCGGTGTAACATTTATCAAAAGTCACAGGATGTCAAAGTTCAAAACGACGTGGGTTTGTTTGTTTGTTGACGTCAAGGGCGAGGGCACCGTGATGGTGGCGGCGTCGTTACTTACCAACTCGTAGTTGACCGGAGTGGAGCACGCGGCCGCCACCTGAAACAGAGACGCGATGTCAGCGGTGAGTTACAGCGGCCACCGTGGCTACAGCGTTCGGACGTGACAGTAACGAGCAACAAACGGCACGGGCCGCGTGTATCCACTAAAAACAAAACGCTTTTGTACATTTATTTTGAGAATTTTCGAGAACCAAATGGCATGGTAGTTTTCAAACATTAAACGCTGCAATTATCTGAATTCCAAACCCGAAACCGCAGGAAATGTTGGTGGAATACGCATTCAAAAATAATTTGCACACCGTATGGCTAGCACAAACCAAATAAATGTGCATTTTTTATGATGGTAATATGAGTAGTATTTTTGTAATTAAAAAAATGGTGTTTATTTTACGATGTGAGCCATCTAAATTATTCCATACCAGGCCGACCAATAAGTGATTATGCACGTCTCAAAATCACTCCGCAAAACTCTTTGAATGTCCACGTGGTTTGAAATATTGACTCTGTCTAATATTGTGATCAAAACGTGCATAACAATCACACAGATTTCATTATCCCGTCACAAATCTCATCAGGGTTTATGCAATCAAGGGGAGGGGGACATTGTCACCGATAGAAAGCACCGCTTTATCACAACATATAAAGAGATGCCCTCACACATCAACACTCTCAACAGACAGAGTATTTTGCGTTCCACGCTTCTCCACGCATGCCTAATAATACGTATTACCTTAAAAGACAGTAATCACGGTTTGTTTTGGCTAACACTCTGGCCTACGTGGACACCAAAGTGAGCTCCCCATGTCCATGTGTGGCTGCACAGCGGCCTTGTAATCGCTGCCCTTGGGACATGGGCCCACTGCACGCCACGGATACCTAGGCTGAGCTCCATGCCTCGCCCCCGTGGGCTTGCAGCTGTTGTGGTCTAGCAGGCATGTCACCAACACAAGTCTAGGCAATGTGCCACATCTTCACATCTATTGACTCGCGCATGCCTGGGTTACAATGCCACTTCCTCTACCACTTTTAAGAAAAGCGCTCGATTATTTTTCGTTATAAACGGTGACAACGGTGATTCCCATATTGAGGTGAGAGAACCATGATGTTGAATTAACTTGTCACTCTTATTAAAACAAACAAAACATACATGTTTTGGAGTTACTTTGCACTTTTGACAACTGTGAAAAAGAGTTATGGCTGTATAAGTAGAGAGGCTTATGGGGATGGGCATTCAGGACAACGATTTTAGGAAGAATGCTCTGCGCTCAACAGACTTTCTCAAATATTAAAGAAAGACACCTCCTGGCACGAAGCACCACTTTTGTCAAATAATTTGCCCTATAAATAATTCTCAACTTCCCAAGCCAGCTGGTAAATCAAGGGAATTATTGAACAATATATGCGTGCAAACAGTTTAACAAGTACAATACAAATTTTAGACCTCTGCAAACACATTCAAAGGTAGTGACTTCAAATAAGAACAATTCAGCCACACATGAAGTAAGAAATGTAAGAAGTGCTGCATTTGAAATTGGTAAAAGTGCTCAAACTCCACTGATTTGCAGTTTAAAAATATTTCACGGCCGATAATTTCAAAACATATTTGGACCGATTACAAGACAAAATCTCCCTGTGAAATTACACGAAGTATTTTTAGCAGAGAATCCCAACTCCACGGTTGCAATTGTGTTTTATATGTAACTACACATCAAACGCCTAGGTAATAAAACGAAAATAAATCAGGGCACTTTGACCCCCTGTGAGGGTCACCATCTCAAGAGAAGCTGTCTAGTACTCCCACTGGGAGTTATGCCAACCCCCACAGGGGCCCTGATGCCCTCTGCAAGGGAATTCCTGGTCAGGATCAAATGGGTTCACGTTTCTACATTTCCCAGTGAGATTATTTCAATGCCCGTCAGTGTTCTAAATAAGACCCTGCCGCGGTTAAAATAAATAAATGATGTTCCATAATTAATCTTTTGAATGCGATTGTATTACCTGTTTATACATTCGTCGTACATTCAGTGAATGTATTTCAGAAATTGTTTAATAATTCCACCGTTAAAACAGATTAACTATTTTATCCATGCACACAGTATGCACAGACCACAACAATGACATCGTAACATGATATTCAAGTGCATTAGAGACACTTTGAATGGGAATATGAACAGGTGCATTTTTGCAACGTCGCATAACAAAATAGTACGCTGATACTTTAGGTTGTGATATATGAACAACGAATTGGATATTCATCCTCAAAAGCTTATAATCCCACTCCCAGCATCCCCAAATAAATAACCTTACCTGAACACTCTGCTTCTTTATCAACAAGCACCTTGCAATGCCAGCAACCTTGCTTGAAACCGTTCTTTTTTGTTGTTGTTTGAGCAACGACTTAATTTTCAAATAAAAAAACAAAATACTCCGAAAAAGGTAGTCGTGACAAAACGATCAGGAGAGCGACAGAGAGCCAGCGCTCGTGACGGGCATAGCGACTGGCAGAGAGAGAGAGAGACGCCTCGCTCGCCCAGACAGCAGCTACCTAGGGGCTCGCGTCCAGACGCACGCCGCTCTCCCTCCCCTCCCTCTCTCTCTCGCCCGTCTGTTACTGTACACCGCGGAACCGCTGCACGCTGGCGCACGACCTTATCGGCCCCGAGCATCTGAGGAATGCGCCGGGGCTTAAGAGATCCTGCCGGGCTGCACTAAAGAGGAGCACAAACATCCCCGGCGCACGAAGCCGCCGCCGCCGCTGCTTCTTCTCCTCCTCCGCCTCGACCCACGCCAGCGCCAGCAGTTGCGCAATAAAAACAGTCCTGGAGCTGATGTACTTTGGGGGGGGGGGGGGGGGGGTTATTTAAATATTCTCATTAAGGCTCAGTTTGAAAAGTGGGCATTCTTATGGGTCAAAAAATACCGCTGGCAATTGAAATATTGAAAAATTACTTTTTTTAAGGAAACCTAAATTTAGATTTCAAAAGTTAATAAATGAAACTTCTTAAGAAACTATTTTCCTCCCTCCTTAAACTCTTTAAAAGAACCACCCTAAATGGTAGTGGTGTAATTGTACAATATCAACACTAAACACACTCCCATTTCCGACTCGCATTTAGACTGCGGTCCATTTACATTCTTGAAATAAATCACGACCGCTGTTTTAAAAATCCTGTCACCAAACCTCATCTCGCGCATAACGACCCAAGAATTTATGGAATGAAATAATAAAGGCCACGAGGTCATCGACTGACTCACCTCGAAGGAATAACAAAGTATGGGATTCAGTTTTGTCTTTAAACGTTTTCGTAACTCTTCCACCACAGCAGTCCGTACGATGCGATTAAAAAGACTCTGTCTACGCATAGACCATGCATGACAAGCACGCACACACACACACGTAGTCCACCCACACAGTGCAACAGAAGAAAGTGTTTGACACTCGCGGAAAAATGAGCCCAGGAAAAAGGCGAACGGGTCGGGAAATAACCACGGTCGATCAACACAACTGATCCGACAAGTATGACCAGTACTGTCACTCAACAACAACACAAAATACCCATACGTCTCTCTCACAAGCCTCCTTTCTTTAATACAAGTGTTACACGTCCTCGAGTCGCGTGGGCTTTGAGGGGCATCACCGAGCACACCCTCTCACGAAGCGGAGACGGCGACTTATTTAGTTCTTTGGATTCACGTCATGTCCTCATGGGACCTTGCAATTGCGCATCTGACAAAGATGCATCCTTAGGCGCAGCCTCTCTTTTTCTTGTTGCCTCTGACAAGCTTCATCTGTCGGCTGGGCCTCCATGCATTCCTGCGAGGCCCCCACATGAGTGATCAGATTACAGGTAATACGGGAGAGCAGCGAAGAATGAAGACAAAGCTCAGCGAGAGATAAAGGCGGTGACCAAGGCACAGAATTCGAGCAGCACCTTGGAAAGGATGAAGCGCACAGAAGCTGCTTTCTGAATTTAATGAGTTGGTATCTACGATAAAAAATTAATTGTTTAAGACGTCCAATTCCAAATCGTGTCTACAAGAAATATAACCAGCAGCGCTAATTTCCGTTCATGTTCTTGGATATGCAGTAAACAAAGCCGCGAACAGATATACTCAATAATATGAAAACATGATAGCACCATCGGAAAAGTGCTGTACGTAGAGGAATGTACTTCACCTTACCCATAATTAGCTGCAACTATGCGAGGGCCATACCCCAGGGAGTACGTTCATCTTTTCACCGCCAAGTGTGCTTGTTGCCGTCACGAATACATGAATAAAGCAACGGTTCCTCAGAATTGCCTTTCCGTGAGACACAGTGGCAGTGAGACGAAAGGAGACCACGCACACACGCACGCACAGATAACGGAGTATTTTTCGCAAACAATCATCGGCCCCCTTTTCACAAACAAGCAAAGAAAAAACGATCAAAGCCACCGGAGGAGACCCCGCCACAGTGCCGGCGCAGTGGCAGGTGAGCGTGGAGGGGGCATTGGGGGTGGGTGGGTGGGGGGGGTCGTGGCGGGGGCTCCCGAGACCCAAGACCCATTCCAGACAGATTTCGCCCACGGCGCAGCAGCAGACAAACACGAATGTCCGAACTGTCTTCGGGGGGTTTTCAGAGCTTCTCCGCGGCTCTCGTGCCACGTGGGGTCTCGAGCCGCTGACGCAGGTAAGGGCTGCAAACTCGCGCACCTGCCGCTACATTCCTGGCCGACAAAAAAGCGCGCCCTCGAATCCATCAACCAGCGCCGCTCACGCACTGGTTTTTTTTACTCTTGGCATGGTTTTGTCCGTTCTCGTGAAGAAAGAATAAAAAACACTTTCGAGCATAATTTTGCTTCTACAGTTATATATTAATATATCTATATTTTCGTTTAATCTTAAAACCGACGTGCAGGACTGTATGCAGTACAATTTGGATTTACATAGCGTTTAAAAATGTGATCGAAATCTCAAGATGCTCTAAAACAAACGGCGGGAATACTTACTTAACAGAGAGGCAGCCGGCCGGTCATAGGCAGAGGGACGAAAGAA